TTACCATTATAACCATTGTTGTGGATGAGAGGTCTGCACGTGCTGTGAATAATCCCTACGGGACTGTGCACATTTATCGCCCATATTATCATAGTTATTTTACACGGTAAACCTGTAAGGTTGAAATCTGGAGACTAGGGCCCTGGTGCTGCTGCTTTTAGGCTCAAACGACAGAGTATCCGAACTAGTTCTCCAGGCCTGTATAGTCTAAGCATAAACTTGTGCTGTGTAGATGTTTATCAGGCTTATTAAACTGTAAACCATAAGTATGACCGAAAATCAAGACCCACGTCTGGTAAACTTAATAGCACTAAAGAAGGGATAAAATATTTGAGAATTCCTGAAAAATCTAGTATGCTTGCTGGCCATAAATATGAGGGACGGTGGTGTTGAGAAGACTAGAGTTTTGTAAGGGAATGTGTGTTCAGACAAGGTATACTTCAAAGGTAAAAGAGAAGGCTGGTTCTTCTTAGAATAGTATAGCACAATTGTCAAATACTTGATTGTCTATCTTATTGTCATCCAGTTAGGCTATGTAACCATATCCTGGAGTAATCGTTTCTTAACTTGGAATCAATGCAGAAGAGTCAGTCTGCCTAGAGGTTGGGAGGTTAACCTTGGAGCCATCTGGATTCTGTTTCTCCAGGGAGGAGGTTGGCACAGAATCTTCATAGTATGTTACTTTATTGAAAATATAAACTTCTGCAGTGGTATCTGCATTTCAACCAAGAAAATGACACACAATGTATCTAATGGTGCAATTTAAACCCTTAAGGGGAAATTAAGCAGGCATTTTTAGTCAAGGTGCCACCATCATCACTTCACAAATCTGTGTTTGAAGCAGTCTAACTCCAAAGAAGTCATTTCTAACACAATTAAGTGGACTTTTTCCACAGTTAACAAAGCTAAATCTTAAGTGAGTTCTATCTGACTTTTATCTGAATTTCATCGAGGAACATTATGGTCATGGTTTTTAAAAATTTATTGCCTTTGATTATCCTTCTCATTTTACAGCCCTTCCAAGTTGCGGAGAAAATTGAGCTAGAAGTGTTTTCTTCCTCTAAGGCACCTTGCTCCTGTTTCGTGGCTCATCTCACTAAGACCCGACACAAACCCACAGCACAACGTTATAGGAGTTGTTCAGCTTGTGATCAGGTGTCTCCAATTCTGTTTCATAAGCGCTGAAACCGAAAACTTCATTTTTTACCTCAACATGTGTTCCATCCTGTTTTTTCATGATTATTATAGTAATGTAAAAATTCTTCCATAGTTTCTTAGATAAGACACGAAAAGCACAAGGAAAGAAAAAACAGATAAATTGGGCTGCATCAAAATTAAATACTTTTCTGCTGCAAAGAACACCACCAAGAAAGTGAAAAGACAATCCACAGAATGGGGGAAAATACTGCAAATCATATTTCCAATAAGGGATTTATATTTAGAATAAAGAACTCCTACACCTCAATAATAAAAAGACAAATAACCCTGCTAAAAAATGGGCAAAATCTCTGAACAGAAATTTCTCCAAAGAAGATAGAAGAATGGCCAAAAGCACAAGAAAAGATGCTTGACACTATTAATCATCAGGGAAAGGCAAATCAAAACCACCATGAGATACCCACTAGGATGGCTATAACCAAAAAGACAGACAATAACAAGGATGTGGAGAAATTAGAGCCTTTACACATTGCTGGTAGGAATGTAAAATGGTGCCACGACTTTGGAAAAGAGTCAGGCAGTTTCTCAAATGGTTAACTGTAGAGTTAACATTTGCCCCAGTAATTCCACTCCTAGGTTCAATTCAATTCTCACCCAAGAGAATTGAAAAAAACAGCACAAAAACAAAATACGGAATATCCATACAATGCAACACTATTCAGCAATAAAAAAGAACTAAGTACTGAAACATGCTACAACATGCAGCCAGTCACAAAGACCAGTACTATATGATTCCATTTACGTGAAATGTCCAGAAAAGGCAAGTCTATAAAGACAGAATAGATTAGTGATTGCCTAGGGCTGGGGAAGAGGAAGAACGGGAGAGACTGCTAATGGGTACAAAGTTTCTTCTTTGGGTGATGAAAATGTTCTCAAATTGTGCTGATGGTTGCACAACTCTGTGAATATACTAAAAACCATTAAATTGTACACTTTAAATAGGTAAATTTTATGTTTTGTGACTTATATTTCCCATAAAGCTACTTTAAAAAGTTCTTCTATGGAGATGACCACGGATACAAATTAAGGCCAGATCAAAGAGATCTGAACCAGTGCTATTTTTTTGTCTTTTTTTAAAACCAATTTCACAAACGCCTGAAATCTTCAATTTTACCTTTGTGAGTTTTCTACACAATTATCATTACGAGACTGTGAAAATCAATCAGGGAAGCACCGGTAAAACGTTAGCTTTATCTTTCAAGGTTAGCAATAATTTCGCAACCACAGGAATCTCATCCTTTACCTCTGGACAATTTATGTTGAAGAGTGGGTCCCAATTATTCTTTTGGCTCACAGGTGAAAAAAGAATGTTATTACAGAGGCTGGCCTGGTTGCATAGTGGTTAAGCTCTGGCGCTCCGCTCTGGCGGCCAGGGTTCACAAGTCACATCCCTGGTGTGGACCTACACAGCTACTCACCAAGCCACCCTATGGCAGCGTGCCACACACAAAATAGAGCAAGATTGGCACAGATGGTGGCTCAGGGCCAATCTTCCTCATACACACACAAAAAGCTATTAGGGGTAACCTATTTTGATTTCACTAAGTGAGGAGCAGTAATTTGGGGACCCAACAGACTTCTAAAATTTCATCACAGAGAGACTCATAAAGAGCATATAGTCTTTGCTTTTGTCGAGTATTGACCTTTGGCTGATTACTCACTTATCTAACCACGCTTTTTATCAGCACATTAGAGTTCTGGAAAACGGGACTCAAAGCTCTTTGGTGCCAAGGAAGAGTGATTCCGTGGCAAAGGCCCCACAGTACGCTCTCCCTATTTTGAGGAACACAAGAGAGCCAGGCAGGGACAGGACTGCGTGGTCTGAGGTCAGGGGATCCCTAAAGAAATTGTGTTCTGCAAGCAGCGGGGGAAAATCCACGCGGCGGCTTCGGCTGTTTCTCTCCTAAGTCACAGCAGCAACGCTCGACCGGCGTGTGATCTTCTTCAGACCTTGAGGCCCGCCCTCCCTCCCTGCGCACGTGGCCAGGTGCGGGCCAGAGACCACGCGCGACCAACTTTCTCCTGCCCGCTGTTTAAACGCCAGGTGTTGGACGCGAACTCTCGGCCTGCCGTTGCAAGATGCCGTGAGGCGCACCCCAGGATTACCAACCCGCGGGGTAGAAACAAAACCACAATGCAGTGAAGTGAGAATCTGCCCCCAACCTCCCAACACGCACTTTCCTTTTCCTCCTTCTCTCCGCCCCCACCTTCGCCTACTCTCAGCCCAGGCTCCGCACGCCGGCTCAAGAGCCCAGCCGGGTCCGATTAGCCGAAGAGACCCGGGAAAAGCGAGTCCATCCGGGTGCTTTGTCCGCGAGGGCATAAGGGCGTGGCTTTATGACGCCCGTGGGGGGAGGGGCAAGGAGCCAACTCAGGAGATTGGGACCTCCGGACGCAGGGGGGCGGAGGGAGTATGGGTGCCTCTTTCCACGCCCCATGGAAAGTCCATACTGGACAAGAGGGGAGTCTCTTTTCTGAGACTCCCATTTGAGGGGGAAATACCCAGTAAAAAGTTTAACTTGAAAGGCTCATCCTTTTAAAATCTCGGTCACACCCTCTCCTCCTGCTCGTCTCTCTTCTCACCTTGATAACCCTGAAAACCTCCCTGGCTCCAGTCTCTTCTCCCCCCCTGATTTCTGTGCAGATGGTAGAGGCCGACGGGGTGCGCAGCCGCAGAGAGTTTGGGGCGGTGCCGGCGAGGGGCGGGTGACGCAGCGGCCGTCGCTGCCATTTTAAGTTGTTTGTTCTCGCCTCTCTTCTCAAACGCGACTCTGCCCCGGACCCGGGAGGCGCCCGAGGCCGCCGCCGCTTCCGCAGCTACCGGTGGGGGCGAACGAGGCTGTGCCACCGCGGACGCTCACCCTCCGCTTCGGCTTTTCCCCCCTGCGGGTCTCCTCGACCTTCTTTCCGGAGAACCGGAACCCGACCGTGGGGGGAAGAAAGACTCAAGAGCAGATGCTTGAACTGAAATAACTTTATTTTGGGGGGTTTACTTCGCTGACAGACCCCGTAGCGCAGGGCTCCCCTCCCCTTCCTCCCCTCCCCCCGCCGCCGCCAGCACCGATCCTCCCCCTCCTCTTTCTCCTCGTTTTTCCTCTTCTTCTCTCTCTCTCGTCGCCTCCGCTGTCTCCGCGTCTTTCCCTCCGCCGCCGCCCGGGGCGCCGAGCCAGACTATGGGTCCCAGGTGGGGGCTGAGTGGCGGCAGCAGCGCGGGCGGTCCGGTCACAGTGCGCACTGCAGCGGGGATGGAGGGGCGCAGTTGGCTGGTGGTTTTCTCTTGACATGGCTCCTGCCCGTGCTGCGAGCAGCGCCCCCGCCGCCGCCTCCTCTTCCGCCGCCGCCACCGCTCCGCCCGCAGGCTGCGGCTAGAGGGCCTGAACCCCGCCCGAGAGTCGGTCCGTGAGTCCCGGTCTCCGCGGGGCCAGGGAGGGGATTTCCCCGTCAGCCATCCCCGCCCCAGCTGCCTCAGTTCCACCCCTTTGACCCCTCGGGAACGAAACTAACGACCCCACCCTAAACCATCCAAACTCGGGAAACATGGTCTGTTCAACCTGAGCGAGAGCGAATCCGGGAACTTAATTTTTTTTGGACGGGTGGGGTGGGCGTACTTTAAAAAGTAATTGCTATTAACACGACTATTTTCTTTTTTCCCCCCCACTGATCCTTCCCATTTACCCTCTCCCGCCTCCTCTACCCGGGCGGGAATTGTTTCTACGATGAAATGAGTGAAAACCTGAGTGATCCTGTGTCTCCCGTGGTGCGAGTGAGTCGCTGCCGCTGAAGGCGAAGGGTGGGGGTGGGACGTGGGGGGTGGAAGGCAGGTGGTCCCCGGGCACTGCCTGGGACCTGGGAGAAAAACCCGCCACCTTTGCCTCAGCAATGCTCGTAAGAAGATAAGGCGCACTCCCCACGATCTTGAACGGGGGCAGATTCATAGGGAAGGCTCCCTTGGGGAATGTAGGACTCATTGCAGGGCTGGGGGTGTTGGGGTCCCGGGCATTAATCAGGTCTAACCACAGAGCCGGAAGAATTAGTATATCGTGTTGTACACCCCCTTTCCCCCTGCCATCATGATTCTCCTTGGCAGCAGCGTTAGCAGCCGCCTGAGGGTGAAAATGTGGGTAATGGGGAAGTTGGTAATGACTCCGCTGTTTTTTCTCATGGCTCCTTTGGGCAACAGCTGTCCGCCCCCGGTATACACTGTAGTTGATTGCAGGGAAACCCTGTACCTCTCCCCTTCCTTCTCTACCGATTTTGCACTTTTCTCTTTGCTCACCACCAAGTGTAATCAATAACAAGCACTGACAATACATAGCAATAGTGAAATCTGAAATAACTAAGTATTAATTAGGTACTACAGCCATGGATCTGGCTGGGTAAAATCCAATTGGGTATTTCAGTTTCATTCACCTACCCTGTTCTGGGGTTTTTTTTGGTGGTTTCTTTTTTTTTTTCCTTTCCTTTTTGCTATTTGGAAAGCGAGGATCACACTTCCCCCTCCCCGTTCCTTTTCATAATCTCTTCTCTAAAAAGAGGGAAAAAAAAAATCCGAATGGATTCTAAGGATTGGACTGGTGTCAGCTGTGTTTTATTGCACACCTAAATCCTGATAATAGGCTCTTCACCCCTCCGCCTTTATTTTGGCAGTTAAGCCAAATGTGTTTTCCAAAAAGTTAGTTCAAGTATTTTCTCCTCTTTCTTTCCTTCCTCCCCGTCCTTTTTCCCATCCATCCCAAACGTTATTGTCCAGACATGACTGGACAGCAGCTTTTGTTTCTTGACCCTGTAATATGACAGTCTGCTAATATTGCCAGAAGGTGCAGCTTTTGGGTTACAGTCGTGATTTTAGCTATTCAATCATATTAGCAGGAAAAAAATGACTTGTTTCTGTTGTACTTGAGTCTTAAGAAAAAGTGCCCATAGTTTAGTGACAATTTCCAAAGGCTTTAGTACCACCTGTATTTCAAAATGGGGGACCCAAACTCCCGGAAGAAACAAGCTCTGAACAGACTACGTGCTCAGCTTAGAAAGAAAAAAGAATCTCTAGCTGACCAGTTTGACTTCAAGATGTATATTGCCTTTGTATTCAAGGAGAAGGTAATTTAAAGTTCTTAATGTGAATTAGCACAAGTGATTTTTGTAAGTGTCTATTATTTGTTACTCTTAAATAACTGAGTATTAAAGAGTGGTTGACATAAATATACATTGTATGCTTTAACTTTCATCCTTATGGGTAATAACTGAATGGAAGGCTTGAGTAATCATTGGTTTGGAAATATTTATTGTAAAGCTTAGTAGGGTCCACAATCGGTTAACATGGGGTGGGCAACATTGTGAAACTTTCATTATGTTTTACAATAAGTTTCATTTATATAGAGAGAACTTTATAACTGAATTGAAAGATTGTCAAAGTGTAAATAGAATGTCGGAAAGTGGTAAGTTAGAATCAAAATGTTTGTGTGCTCAAAGCAGTCTGTTTCTTCAACTCCATCCTGTAGGTATCTTTTCTCAAGGTACGTTTAATGAAACAGAACACACTTGAATTTTGCAGAGCAATAAATACTGTAATGGTTAATTTGTGTTTAGAAGTGCAAGTTAGTAAAATTCAAAATGCCCTGAAGAGGAAGTTTAGATTCTTTTTTTTTTTTTGATCTTAATGAGAATTAATTCCACAGTTAAAACGCAAATAATGACTGTGAATAGTGAAGGGAGAACAAGATAAAAATAGTATTTTTTTGCAACTTAAAATAATGGGCAGTGTCTTTGATAATCTCTATTTGATGTGAGATTAGGTTGTGAATGTAAGGAAATACTTTGATTTTTGCTCTTAAATCATGAGCTAATTTCAGCTTAGAAATAGAATCTTAGTATGGTATCTATTTAATATTTAGAAATTTCCCAAGATTTACCCCCACTCTTAACTCTTAGAGGTCATTAGTATTTAAGAATGCTTTTATTGCTGCTAGAGTATAAAGTGGTTTGTTTAGAAGTGATTGTCCCGAGATTGGGTAGCACTTGGATAGTACCAAGAATTTACTTCTCTATTTTCTCTTAATAAGTTGACTGAAGAATTGATGAGATAAGATTTTAGTTGAAGATAGTGTAATGTAGGTTCACTATAAACAAATGCAAGATATAAGTAGTGAGAATAGGTCTTTGTATTTAATCTCTTAGATGCCTCAACCATCTAGTTCTTTAACCCCTCTGAAAACCTGTTTTTATTCTGTGAATGGACAGTATCCAGGCAATTGGCCTGAGTAGTTCATGAATTTCATAACCTAAATTCATGAGTACTTCGTCTTAACTGAATTTGAAACTCAGTTTGGTAGACATTTTTCCTTCAAACATTGACAGTTGTAGTTGTATAACTCTTGGAAGGCGCAGTGGAAATTGACCCTTTTAAGGAGTGAAACAGTTAATTTGTCTGAACAGCTTTGTTTTTAAACTGCTGAGATTTTAATTTAGCTGTATGTAGAACCAGTTAAATGAAATTACATCAAGTAAATCACTTTTTTCCCCCCCAAACTTTAGGGGTGTCTAGTGTTTGTTTCTCACAGCATTTAAGAAATGTTATTGTCTAGGGGCCAACCTGGTAGCGCAGTGGTTAAGTGTGCACGTTCCGCTTCGGTGGCCGGAGGTTTGTCAGTTCGGATCCCGGGTGTGGACGTGGCACCACTTGGCAGGCCATGCTGTGGCAGGCGTCCCACATATAAAGTAGAGGAAGGTGGGCACGGATGTTAGCTCAGGGCCAGTCTTCCTCAGCCAAAGGAGGAGGATTGGCAGCAGATGTTAGCTCAGGGTTAATCCTCCTCCTCCTCAAAAAAAGAGAAATGTTATTGTCTAAACTAAGTGCTTGCTGTGGATGCCATAATGCTATAAAATCAAGCAGTTGAAAATCTGTGTTTTCAGTACAAAAATTACTTCCGTTAAGAATTTTGCTGCATGAGGGTAAAGATACATGACATTGTGACATGAGCTGGATGTTAAGACACTGTGCTGTGAGTTAATATGTGTTTTTTTATTTTAGAAGAAAAAATCAGCACTTTTTGAAGTGTCTGAGGTTATACCAGTCATGACAAATAATTATGAAGAAAATATCCTGAAAGGTGTGCGAGATTCCAGCTATTCCTTGGAAAGTTCCATAGAGCTTTTACAGAAGGATGTGGTACAGCTCCATGCTCCTCGATACCAGTCTATGAGAAGAGTAAGTTCTGTTTTTAAGTCTTGATTTGATAAGTTTTTGTGATTTAAGCTTCTGGTTTTTCCTCCCTGAGGATGAGTAGTTATGGTGATGAATCTCTTCAAAAGTTGACTTCACGGGGGGCCAGCCCGGTGGTGCAGTGGTTAAGTGTGCACGTTCCGTTTCGGCGCCTGGGGTTTCCTGGTTTGGATCCTGGGTCCGCACGTGGCACAGCTTGGCATGCCATGCTGTGGTAGGCGTCCCACATATAAAGTAGAGGAAGATGGGCACGGATGTTAGCTCAGGGCCAGGCTTCCTCAGCAAAAAGAGGAGGATTGGCAGCAGTTAGCTCAGGGCTAATCTTCCTCAAATAAATACATAAAAAGGGCTAATCGTCCTTAAAAAAAAATTTGACTTCAAATAAAATATATGGATAACTTTTCTTATGTGGTGTTATGCTGATAATGGTGTACATTATTGCTGTGAATAATGTTTTATATTACTGTGTATTGGGTTTTCCTTTTTGCGGGGAGAACTAACATCATACCCCTTAAAAATAAGAAACTTAAAGTAGGGGGTGTTATTGCTGCCAACCTTCTAAACTTCTGCAGCTCATTGTAAATTAATGTGGGCAAACTTGAACAAGAAGACCCCACAGTTAGTGGGTTGGGGGAAGGCTGGAGATAACCACGTACTGGTCTAGAAGAGGTTTCTTGGCTTTTGAAAATTAATATGCTGGACTGTGATAATAAGAGGAACAAGAATGGAGAAAAGTAGTTTTCTGTCAGCATACAGCAAAAATAGCATTTCAGCTGTAATAAGGTAGTGATTCATATTAGCAGTTCCAAGACACCTTTGCTTAAATAGGTTATGATTTTGAAAAGTAGAAATATAGGTGCAGGAACTTGAAAAACGGAGACAAAAAAATCAGAGCTTTAGTTGGAGTTTTCACTGTATGCTGATGAATTTAGGTCTTGATGTGAGGGACATTGGACTGAGTGACTATGGACTGCCCAAGATAAAAGTTCGACTTTGGTCATCAGCTATTCAGATTGTATACAGTCCTATTACTACTACCTTTGAAGATATAAAATGATATATAGTGAACCATTTGCACTTGCAAAATCTTTCTTTAGTCAAACCCTATAATTTGTGACATTGCTTGTTACGGCTTTGTTTCTTTGAAAGTAATTTTTTTTTTTTTGTCATTTTATAGGATGTGATTGGCTGTACTCAGGAGATGGATTTCATTCTTTGGCCTCGGAATGATATTGAAAAAATTGTCTGTCTCCTGTTTTCTAGGTGGAAGGAATCTGATGAGCCTTTTAGGCCTGTTCAGGTATTTTATTCTAAAATAAGTGTGGTGAGTGCTTAAATAAGTGAAAACTCCTTGAATAGGGTCTAACTTAAGAAATTCTCTGGAAATATGCTTCCTTTTTTTTTTTAAGTTTATTTTTTTATTGAGGTAACGTGGGTTTATAACATAAATTTCAGGTGTGCATCATTATATTTTGATTGTGTAGATTACATCATGTTCACCACCCAGACAATTACCATTGGTCACCATACACATATGCCCTGTTACTGCTTTCACATCCTCCCACAACTACCAGTCTAATCTCTGTATCTGTGTGTTTTGTTGTGAATGTGCTTTCTAGTAAGTTTTATTTCGTGAGTACCCCTGTCCTTTTGAATATTTCTACTGCAAGAAGAGAAAGCCGTTGGATTATAGAAGATCTTGAGAAGGAGGCAGTTCTAACTACCCAGTATGTCTTTGAAATTATGGCCAGAGACAATCTTTCAAGGTAGACATTGGTTGATTTATAGAGGGGTCCATAGATGAACTTGAGAAGATCACTTGCCCTGCACCACACACACTCCTGAAATATAATCATGTCCCATGTAACAATGTTTCAGTAAACAACAGACCACGTACACGATGGTGGTTCCATACGGTTAGTACCAAATAAGCTAGGTGTGTGGTAGGTTTGTGTAAGTACACTCTGTGATGTTCTCACAATGACAAAAATCGCATAATGATTCATTTCTCAGAACGTATTCTTGTCCTTAAGCAACGCATGACTGTAGTATACCTAACCATCCTGGTTCTCAGAAGAGTCTGATCTAAGAAACCTGTTTCTAGAAGTTGATTTGTATATAAAACTGTACAGGAGAGAAATTTAGTGGTTCTTAATTAACCTTCCTTGACATCTTACTAACTTTTGACTGACTTGACATTTGATTTACTTGACAATTTCTAGTGTTTATTTAAGGGCATTTTTACCCAGGTGTTGATGATTCTAATTTTATTTATAATATGTTTATATGCATATATTTCCATAATTTTCTACAATGAGCATACTTTTACAATCAGAAAAACAAATAATGACATTTAAAGACGCATTTTAAGTGTATTAAACTAAATATTAGAAGGCTTATTTGAAGCTCATGCTTAGGATTATGAAAATTGTCATTGAAGAAATTTCCCATTTATCCATTACTATGCTTTTGTGTTGTGATAGACAAGTTGGTATACTCCTTTGTCTGCAGTAATGTTGTTACACATCTTATCATTCCTTTTTCTAAGATTCATTTGACAGTAACAAGTTATAAAGATAATGCATAAGCTAAATACAGGTAAAAGCATGATATCATATGTTGTGTCTTCTTTTAATGGATGATATCTGACTAACATGAATGTGCTGGAGAATAGAAGTTGAGTATAAAAGGCAGGAAGACAGGAATGGAAAAGGTATGTTTATAGTCATCAGAGCAGGTTTTATACTTCAGCTGTGACTGCTCTCCAGAAACACTATTAAGGTTTGGTTTTTGTTTGTTTTTGGTGAGGAAGATTGGCCTTGAGCTGACATCTGTTGCCAGTCTTCCTCTTTTTCCTTGAGGAAGATTGTCCCTGAGCTAACAGCTATGCCAGTCTTCCTCTATTTTGTATGTGGGATGCTGCCGCAGCATGGCTTGATGAGTGGTGTGTAGGTCTGCGCCTGGGATCTGAGCCTGGGAACTTAACCACTATGCCACCAGGCTGGCCCCTCTTTTTGTTTTTTTAATTCAGGAGTTCCCATTGGAAAAATTTAGGTCCACTTATCACAGTATGTTTTTTAATTTCTGGCATCCTGTCTTTTCCTCTGAGACCTTATTTGGAATAATTGTGTTAAAACAGTCTTGTCTCAGATGTTACTTTTCTTTGAAATCATGGCTGTTTATTGAGTGTTGACTATGTTAGGCTGTCTCCTAAATACCTTATATACACTTAATCTCAGTTCTTAGAATAACTAGGTAGATGTGAACCTCCTTCTGCAAAGAAAGAAACTGAGGCAGTTAGAGATTAGGTAAATAACCAGCCCAAGGTTATGCAGTTAAGTGGCAGTCAAGATGTAAGTCTGAACTGAGTGTAAAGCTTATGTGCTCTTAACTCACTACCCTGTACTGGGGGAAGTTCCCTGTATTACAAAACCTTAAATTATGGACTGAATATAAGCAGTAGGAAATAGGTGTAATGTCTTGTAATTTTAAAATTCAACTGCAGAAATAAGTTAACGATGTACAACGAATTTACATCATACGATAGATGAATATTCTGAATGAGAAGGCTTAAATAAAAGTACTATTAAAATATGTTCCGTCTTTCCTTTTCATCCCTAATGCTACTGCTCTTCATCACACTATTAAAATATTTCATTACTTTTGGGCATTGCTGCTTTCATGCTGCTTATTAGAGTTTTCTGTTTGGTGTGGATCATTCCTTCCAAAAACTTCTGTTATTCAGTAGGGTAGACTAGGAATGCCATAGAACTATATGGAAGGCTTTTTTAAGTCTCACTCAAATCTCTTAACTGTGATACTCTCCTGGCTTCTCCCATCCACCCTGGTATTTGCCATACTGAAATACTTGAAGCTTTGTCACTTGAAACAGTATCTTGATTTTGACACATTTGTGTGTGTAGGTTTGGTTTTCAAGAATGGCATTTTCCAAATTACTTACTGTTACTACTCTCCCCAGGGAAAATTACGGTCATCTTTCAAGGCCTAATCCAAAATCATCTGGTAGTACTGCCCACATTGCTCACTCTAATTACTTATTCTTCCTTCCTCCCATAGCACATTGACAATAAGAACCCATCTTAGGGTTTTACAGATAACCGCATCTTATTCTAGGAAAGATTTAAAGCAAGTTAAGTTTTATATCTGCATGTGCTTGTCCTCTTAAGCACCGTGTGAGCCCTGTAAGGTTGAGATAATCTTAGTCGTATTTTTCAGTATCTAATAACATGCTTTTTATATGCTAAGAGTTCAGTAAGTATTGGAATTGTGCAGAGGTACAATTCAGTATCATGTTTTACATATAACAGTATGTAGGGATACCACGTCATATTTTATGTTATGACTTGATAAGAAAAACTTCCAGGTGGTAAGATCCTAGATAACAGGAACTGATGGTTTTCCTGTGTTAGGATTTCCTGCCATCTTTGACATAGTAAATAAAGATCGTCCGAACCAGATGGACTGACAATCATTTTACAGTTCAGTATTATCTAAATGTCAGATTAAGGTTTCTAGGTTTCTTGAATTCTGTGTTAGCCTGGTCCTTTCACCCAGCGTTTGGCCTCTTCACAGACATTTTGCGGGAGGATGGAGTTGATCTTCTTCATGTTAAAAGATTAAAAGACTATTTTAACTTAATTGATAACAGTCCTTCATAACTTTTTTTTAATCTGAAAAAATGCACATAAAAAACATTTTTAAAAATTTTGAGGGATTTGTATATCCTTAAAAGCCCATCTCTGTGAAAACTGGAGCTGTATTTGAGGTATGTGGGCTTTACATTTCATTTAATCCTCTTAACTGACCCAATGGGTTATACCCCATCTATTTTATAGTTGAGGAAGCTGCAGTTTAGAGAAGCTGAAGAATTTGCTTGCATAGGTCACACAAGTAGTGAGATGTGTGGCTTGGATTGGAATAGATTTCTTTCTAAGAGCCATCCATAGTGTTTCTTTGTTATAATAGAAGGGAGGAGGGAGGGTGCTGTTGGGCTTAATTAAAGTACTAAGGTGGGAGTCTTGAGCTGAGTAGGTCTGAAAATCTTATTTTGTGAAATTTGGCTTAAAATCATGAGTATTAGGATCTAGTCACTTCGGTGCAGTTTTTCTTGAAGGTCAAATTATATAATGGAGTGCTATCCAATAGAACTTTTTGTGATGAAGGAAATGTTCTACATCTTAAGAGACTGTTCACAGTGGTGGCCACTAGCCACATGTGACTATTGAGCATTTGAAATGTGTTACTGAAGAGCTGAATTTTAAATTGCGTTTAATTAAATTTACCTAGCCACTCTGGGCTACTATATTGGACAGCACAGCTATATGCATATGGGTGCAGTAGATATTTCAGGAAGTGTAACTTGTTTGTAGTTACATGTAAATGTTTTTATTTCTTAATTAGGCCAAATTTGAGTTTCATCACGGTGACTATGAAAAACAGTTTCTGCATGTACTGAGCCGCAAGGACAAGACTGGAATTGTTGTCAACAATCCTAACCAGTCAGTGTTTCTCTTCATTGACAGACAGCACTTGCAGGTAAACTTTTTTTTTTTTTAGATCACTAAGGGCTCATTTAAAAAGCTTGTTGGTTAGTAAGCTTTTTCCATATAAGTTACTTAATTCTCTTTTGCCCCTTCAACCCTGCATTCTTTTTGAAGTTATTTAAAAAACAAGAAACAGGTATCCTGGGCCTCATCCTAGAGGAGTGGTTCCCACACTTTTCTGCATGTTAAAATAGAACTACCTGGGGAGCTTTTAAAAGTCACGGTTCCAGTGTACATTAGAGTTTGAGAAACACTGGAGCTTCTCTACCTAAAGTATGGTTGGCAGATCACCATCACCTGAGAACTTCTTAGATCTGTAGACGCTCAGGCCCTCCTCCAGTCCAACTCAGTCAGAACCTGAATTTGGAACAGAGTCCTCGGGTGCTTGGTAACACATTATAGTTTGAGAAGCACTGACCTTTGAAAAAATCTAAAGGGATGAGCCACATGTGTTTTAAATAAGCACTTCCACTTTAATTGGCAATCCAGGTATTCCACTTTAATTTTTAGTATATAAAATGCTATTTATTCTCATAAACCTAAATATGATATCATCACTTTGGATTTATAATCCTGTCATTAACCTTTAAAAATAGGATCATTTTCACTTATTTACTGTTCATTCAACACATGAGTGCCTACTAAGTGCCAGGCATTGTACAACAGTGAACAAGATAGACAAAAATTCCTCTCCTCATGGATTTATATTTCATTGTGGGCGACCCAGCAGTAGATAGTAAAATATATAGTTAGATAATAATAAGTGCTAAGAGAAAAGGGGGGATATATAAACTGTTGGGTGTGAATTCTTAGTGTTACCAGAGGAGGCCTCATTGAGAAGATGGTTTAAGTAACGACTTAAAAGAAATATTACATTAATTGAATTATAGATCATATGTTTATTTAAGAGAGTCAGTGCAAGGTACTAAAAAGTACAAAGGTGAATCATACAGCCACTTTCAAGGAGCTGACTACTTGGGAAGATTAAATATTTACTTTCTATCTTATAGAAAGTTAAATTATGTATAGGTACAATTTAAAAGAACTATGAGAATTACAGAAGAAAGTTAATTTCACTGGAGGTATTTGATAAAACTAATTGAAAAACCATATAGCTTAGCTGGGGTTTTGGGGGTTGGTTTGTTTGTTTTTGGTTTCTTTACCTTAGCTCTCCTGTGGTGGACATTTTTAGGTTGACTTATTTTTCCTTTCTAAAAGAATTTCTTTTTAAAGATTGGCACCTGAGCTAACATCTGTTGCCAATCTTTTTTTTTTTCTTCTCCCCACAGCCCCCCAGTACATAGTTGTATATTCTAGTTGTAGATCCTTCTGGTTGTGCTATGAGGGACACCGCCCCAGCATGGCCTGATAAGCGGTGCCCTGTCTCTGCCCAGGATCTGAACCCATGAAACCCTGGGCTGCCGAAGCAGAGTGTACAAACTTAACCACTCGGCCACAGGGCCTGCCTCTACTTTTTCTTTTTAACTGCTTCTAACAGTGTACTTTTATTTGAGTTACTTGTTAGAAAAATACTGTATAGCAGGATACTGACTTATGGAATCCACAGCACAAAGAGGTTTTTAGTCATAGAAGTGTTAATAATGACTGGTATACCAGTGTAGAGATTTCATTTTCGTGTCAATATATACGAGATCATTGATTCTATATAGAAATGACTAGTGACTTGAGTTACTTTGCTAAATAAATAGTAAATCATATTGTGGTATGTATCAAGGTCAGATGTTTTCTATGCCTAATGAGCAAACAGCTTGAATCCTTTTAATGAAAAGAAAATTAAAAGCTCGTAAGCTAAATTTGGTTTATAGGGTAGGGTGCCTCAGTTTGTCTGGAATGTCCTGGTTTTAGCACTGAAAGTCCCAAGTCTGAGGAAGCCCTCAGTCCTGGGCAAACTGGGATGGTTGGTCACCCTAGTTGTAGATGAATTTGGTCTTAAGTGCTCTTAGTCTCCTTCCACTCAAGTTCTGTTCTCCATAGGCTAGAGATGTGTTGCCGTATTTGTATTATATAGAAGAATCAGCCTCCATTATGAGTTCATGGGAGGATTGATATGACAGTGGCCAACACATACAGTATATTATGTACCAGACTCTACTAAGAACTTTACATGTATGAGCTCATTTAATCCTCACAATAATCCTCTGAGGTGTAGATCTTACTGCTCCCATTTTATAGCTAAGGAAATCAACAAATTGACTTGATCAAAAATCATCTAATAGAGATCTTGTGCCCTTTATTATAATATAAGGTAACGTGATAAAGGCTAGACCAAAGGATAATAGTGGATGGGCAAGTGGTATAGAGGCACATGTTGTAACATTTAAAATGGAAAAATAGTGCATATGTATAGGTTCATTGACATATATAGACTGCTTCAGACATCGGCAGTCTCTCTTTTCTTCTGCTTTTTTTAGATTGCTTATAATGAAAACAAGATGAACTTTGAAGGCAGGTCTGGGTTCAGATTCCATCTCCCATTTACTAGTAGTGGTTATTTGTGAAAGCCCCTAGTATGTTTGTGTGTTAGATGTTAAAATAGTAACTACTGGGGCCAGCCCAGTGGCCGAGTGGTTAAGTTCGTGCGCTCCGCTTCAGCAGCCCAGGGTTTCACCAGTTCGGATCCTGGGCGAGGACATGCTACCACTCATCAGGCCATGCTGAGGCAGGGTACCACATAGCACAACCAAAAGGACCAACAACTAGAACATAAAACTATGTACTGGGGGCTTTGGGGAGAGGGAAAAAAAAGAAAAAACCTAGTAACTACTTTTTAAAAATAATACTTAGAGTTTGATTTATCTGGTAATACTTTGGCTTTCTTCTAGTCTTTTACCCCAGGATATTCTTAAATTTTTTTTAATTCTAATTTTCTCCCTAGCTTCTAGTCTCATCACATCTGCTGTTTTTATATATACAAACAGGACTTCAAACTTCTTTTCAAATATGTCTCCATGAAATGCCTTTATCCCTAATTTCTTTTAGCAAGTGTTCTGTGGTTGACTTCTTTTTTCTATTCTGCATAAATTCTCTAAACATCTATTTAGTTTATAATTGTGTTTATTCTGCTTTTTGCATGGCAAGATTCTGTCTTAACTAGACTAAGGCCCCAGTGGGCAGGGACCATTAATTTATTCGCTTACTCTGTATGCTTTGTTACTGTGTCCATTCGTGCTTAAAAATTGTGGGAGATTGACTTCATCTAACAATTGGTCAGTTATGTTAAAGTCTCATTAAGAATATTAAAATTTTTCCCCTTCCAGACTCCAAAAAACAAAGCTACAATCTTCAAGTTATGCAGCATCTGCCTCTACCTGCCACAGGAACAGCTTACCCACTGGGCAGTTGGCACCATAGAGGATCACCTCCATCCTTACATGCCAGAATAGAATACTGACCAGCAAAATGGAGAAGATCAGAGAGTGCAGCAGCAATTTTTTTCTTGTTTTCTTACTTTATTCTTTCAGAGTTTAAAGAAAATGGACTCATGCACAGAACACTATGCATTTTGAAACTTGTTCATCCTGGATTTTTTTTCTTTTTAATCATTTGTATCTCAGAACTTTAAAAAAATTAGATGTCTTCTGCACGGACTGTGTGAAAGAAGATGCTTTGCATATTTGCTGCACTGCATCAGCATCTTACTAAAATGTGAAATGAAAGGACTATTGTACACTGAAATGCTTAAATGTATCTGAAAGCACAAGGTGATACTCATTTTTGATGGTCTTTCCATTTGTGCTGGTTTTTGCCTCTCTGACATCTGTCATCAGTATTTAGAGGGTGAGAAGTGAATGTAACAGGTATAAATAACATTTTAAAGAACTTAATAGCTTTGCTGTAATCACCGTTGTTCCAGAGCACTATCAGATTCATTCTAATGACCACAAGTGGTTGTTAAAAAAGAAAGAAAATACAACCATGGGAAAGAAATCTTAAATGAAAAAAGCATCTCATTGTAGGCATCTTGCCTCATATTTTACTGGGCCATGTTTGTTTCCTGGTACTCATAAATATATGTATTTTATTTCCAGATCTCTTTCCCCAAGTTGCTGTTATAAAAGAGTATTCTGCTGAGTGTGGATATAGTTTTACACGTTAAAGCAGATCTGGAGTCTGAAGTAGCTAAAGCAGCTATCAAACTGAGAAGTACATTCATAGCTGCAGAAACCATGATAGGTAGAGGACTTTCCTTTTTGGTTTTTGTTTTGTTTTGGTTTTTGGTTTTAAAGAGATTTTTATTACAAAGAAAAAAAATTCCAGTGAATTCTGCAGAATTACTGGTGTCTACACCATCCTAAAGAAAAACTTAACAGGTTTTTTTTTGGAGTAGAAAAAGTTATTAAATTTGAGATCTTAAATTGAAAAAAAAAGAAAACCATTGAGTGTCAAAGTTCTAAAAGCAGAACTCATTTTGTGCAATGAACATAAGGAAAGACTACTGTATAGTTTTTTTTCTTCTTTTTCTTTTAAATGAAGAAAAGCTTGGCTTAAGGGTTGCATACTTTTATTGGGATAAATCTGAATGATCCTACTCCTTTGGAGTAAAACTTAGTGCTTACCGGTTTCCAATTGTATTTAGCTTCTGGTTGGAATTTGAAAAAATGATAACCTAAATAAAATAGGTGAAAGTTCCCTGACTATTCAGGTGAATACACAAAACTTGAAGTGGTAACTTTTTTTTCCAAGTCACTGCATAGGTGTTTCTGATGACCTGAGGGGGTTATTTTATATTCCATGGTTAAACAGTGAATTCAGAAGAAAAAAGTTGGCAGTTGGATTTCTAATTTCCACATGAATAGGAATCAAGGACATTTTGTTATTTTTTAATAGTTACCAGCCTGGCCTTATGCCTTGCTTCATGGAAAAGAAAGAAGATATTCTTAATTTCAAAATGCTTTCACATTCTCTGATCAGTTGAAAGTTAGACTTCATTTGAAATGACACTTGGGATGTTTACCATGGCCAGGTACTGTTCTAAGCCTTTGTCTTAATTTATCTAAGAACCCTGAGTGGAAACCAATGCAGGAGTGTAGTAACTTAGCCAAGCTCACATCCTGAGTAGGGGAGGATTTAAACCAGCCTCTCCGGCTCTAGAGAGTCCAAGCTCTTAGCTGTTTTACTGTTTTGAATTACACTGTTGTATTCAACCACTTGGGCATTTCAGCAGCCATTGGTTTGATTTTAGTTTTTATTTTAGAGTAATTTAAATTCAGAAAAGTTTTTAAAAATAGTAACAAAACTCTTGTATAACCTTTACCCTCATTTAGTCTTTAACATTTTGCCACATTTGTTTTTGTTGTCTTTCTGCGCATATTTATACATATTTCCTGAACTATTTCCGTTTGCTGCATACATCTTGATTCCTTACCCCTTAGTACTTCGGCATATGTCCCAAGTACAAGGATATTCTTATATAACCATAGTAAAGTTCTCAAACTCAGGAAATGTAACACTGATAACACTTTAATCTACCATCCATATTCCAGTTTTAATTTTCCTAATATCCTTGGTAGTGTTTTTTTAATCCTCCTACAGTAAGTACAGGATCATTGCATTTAGTTGTCATGGCTCTAGTCTTGTTTAATCTGGAATGGTTCCTCAGCCTTGATTAATGAGTTTCAGGCCAAATTTTTAAAATATAAAACGTCCTCATTTTGCATTTGAGCGCTGTTTCCTCCTGGTTAGATTTGGATTACATATTCTGGCCAGCACCCAGGGTGAGTGACTTTACGCCCTTCTCAAGTTTATCCAGAAGCATGCAGTCAGCTTGCTTTGTTGATATTTTGATTGGTCAAAGTGTCCTGTTTCTGCATTGTATGGTTATTATTTCTCCCCTTGCAACTAAGAAGCAATCTGTGGGAAACAATACGCAGATATCCTACTCTTTATCAGGAGCACCATTGTTGATTTTTGCCATAACCAGTCTTTGCTATGATGGTTGCAAAATGGGAATTTTCCATATCTACCCTTCCCTCCACATTTACTAGCACTCTATTGTAAGGGAGAGCCCTCCTGTCTTTGCCATTTAGTATCTACCTGAACAGTACAGACCCAACAAGTCCTTTTTTTCCCAGCGCTGCATAATTTGCATTCCTCTGTCATTTTCTTGAGCACTTCCTTACTTCCAAGCACCAGATACGTTCATCTTATAACTTCCCTATTCTAGCCCTGGAATCAGCTATTTCTCCAGGGATCCCAGGTTCCTTTTAGTGGGAAATATTAGAAATCAAGGTCTGGGTCCCCTGTGTGCTCACTGCTACTATGAAGCCTGTTTCTGTCCATGCAGCAGACAGATCTGCATGTATTCTAATACAAGCAAAGGATAATCAACCTTTAACTACTGACTGTGTGGCCAAATTTATTTAAAGTTCTTCCCTTCTTTTTGATCTTTAGTCACAGAATGTTCCCTAAAACTCCCTGATGCAGAAATCAAATATTAAGGCTGTGGTCAACAGAACTTTGAGAAATGGACTAAATTTGTGAACTTTTTGATACTATAGACTGAGAGGTTCAAAATCTGTATGGTTTAACTCTAGGTACTAGAAAAGGGGCTAAGAGTATGCTTTTCTCCTCCCCTTAATATATAACATTGCCAGTCCTGCGGTAAGTTCTCCATCAGAGAAAAGCAGCACACCCAGTGGATGCTCCTATATCACTAATGTGCTTTGCCTCAAACTTTCCTGAGGACAATTTTAGGCCATATGGCTCAATCTGTCTTATTTTCCAATATGGGTTATGGTTCACCTATTTTGAAGTTCCATAATCTTGAAATTGGGTTAAAAAAAGGTTGAAATGTAGCGTGCCATTTTAGAGCTAAGAGGGACCTAAACTTCATTAAGGATTAACCATTAATTTATATTTCTCCTTTAGCTTAATAATGGGCTTTGGTTTTAAGGTAATCTTATCTCCAAGTGGCCCTGTTAGTGTCTTTGCTTTACCTAAGTTTTATCACACTTTGAGCTAAGATTTTTTTTCATCCAAGTACCACAACATCACGATTAAAACCAAACTGAAGAGTCTTAAAATGAAAAAATACACTCTCACCCTATATCGCACTTGGTTGCTATGTCCTCTTCCCCAAAGAAAGTATTTCTTAGCTACTTCTGGTTGTGTTAATTTATTTTTAAAATTACATTTGTTCGAGTCAAATTTACACCTGATATTCATTGTTGGGTTTCTTCAGGTCACGTGGCTTTTCTCTCAGTTTCCCAGGTGTTTTGTGTGTCTTCCTTGTGCTATTAATTTTCCTGTGACCTTGTTTGTCAGATCCACAGAGGTAAATGCAAGTGTTTTTCCTTGCTTCAGAATATGTGCCGTAATCAGTATATCTTCTCCCATTTTAGCAGGTGACATGTACCTTGAAAGGAAACAAATACAGTTAACAGCAAATAAGTTTTAAAAGGGAAAGTTGTGTGCATCACAGAACAGGCTTCCTATGTTACTTATTCTACTCCTAAAAATAGTCTAGGGCCCGCCTGGTGGCACAGCGGTTAAGTGCACACGTTCCACTTTGGTGGCGTGGGGTTCACCAGTTCGGATCTTGAGTGCGGACATGGCACCGCTTGACAAGCCATGCTGTGGTAGGCATGCCACATAGAAAGTAGAGGAAGATGGGCACGGATGTTAGCTCAGGGCCAGTCTTCCTCCAAAGGGAAAAAAATAATATTAGTAAGCTTTCTGAAACTCAAATTTCAAATTTGAATGGCTAGTCCTGACCAAGTTCCATCTTACCCATTTCTTACCTGGACCAGTTTCTTTTCCCATAAATATTAGAAAGGGTTTTCACCACCCCCCCCCCCCGTTTTTTTTTTTTAAGTTTCCCACTTCATATTTATTTGGGGTTGGTGAAAGATTTCCTCTAGCTTTCATTTTAATCTGCTTAACTTCCTAGGTGAAGTATTACTTGATGTCTACATCTTGTCATATCAATATTTAGAATTTACTTAACCCCAAAATGGCTTAATATAAGAATTATAAGGAATTAATATGAGGTTCTTCCTTACAATCCTGGTGATGAATTGTACATACATGCATATATTACACACTTCCTACCCACTTGTAATAAGCTGTCAGTCCATTCCTTTACTTTTGAAATAACTATAGTAAATCTTTGAGACTATGTCCTAGTTTCTGTTCAAGTGAATCGATTTTTGAAGGTCAGGCATCTCTTGATGGTGACCAATACTTTGGGCAACATAGACTTTGAAAGGCCAAAACTATGTTTGGCTTATTAAAAATTCTTAGGGTTGTGAAAGCAGCAGTATCTTAGAAGATATGAAATGCAGTGTGAGGTTTGAAGCCCTCTCTGCTGTTAATTGAGGCTCTTAGGGCAAAGCAGAGTCATCAACTCATCTTACCCCTCATCACATGGAATAAGATAAGGACTGCTGAATATGCTCACCAGTACCATAAGCAGAACCTCTCCTTTTTGTACATTTTGCTTTCAAAAGAGCATTTGCATCTTGTCCTGTGATTTGCTTATTGCAACCTTCACTTTATTTCTATAGTAAAGAGAGACTGAACATTTAAGTTAACCTAATAAAAGATTTAGATTGTTTAAAAACTTGATAACTGACATTATTTACATTGCCCTCATGTCCCGTAGCTAGCTGTCCCACCCTAACCCCTGCCTCTCCCCCCAACAAAAATCATTTTTCTGTTGTTTAGGTGGAAAAAGCAGTTGTCTTGAAACTAATTTCCTGGGCCCTGCACTCTTTACTCAACAGGACCGGCAACAGTACTAGTTCATGTTGGAATTGAATTTTTTACATTTGGAAATGTCTGACGCCTGCAGGCATTTTCACGACACTGACAGCCTGACATCTGGGGTTCTGCTCCCTGATCATGTGGTTTAAACCTACAGAGCATGTCTGTGCAGCTGCAGGGAGAGATGCACGATTGCAAAACTAACCGGACATTTGTGTTCACCTTGTTACAAGGAGGTGCCAATGTATACATGAAGGTTTCTCCAACTTTCCTTTGAATTTTATTCAGGCCTTTCTCCATATGTACTCAACATAACCCTCATAAGATATCTGTACAAGTGGCACTTTTAAGGACTGATGAAACGGTGACGAGCCATGAGTTTGTGATGACTTTTTTCCCTACCACTATACATAAGCTGAATGCTTGCCTTTTGGAAGGTTTAGACCCCTCCTCCCTTCACTACTGATATACACTACACTTGGAAATTAGTTCTTCTAGTTCTAGATTCTAAGGCCATGCGGTATTTTAGGGCAAATCTATAGCCACACTTAAGGATGACTAGCTAAGGGCACCTCATGCTTGCTTTATGTTATAAATGTGTTTAGTCGCAATTGTTTGAAATGAGTTTATCACATTAAAAAAATTTATTTGGGGTATAGTTTGGATACATACGTTATGTTCATGTCGACACTGACTCCAGGTGCTCCCCTCTCTGAGAGTAGCAGAGCTACTGTTGATATGCTATCCACTAAAGTGGCTATCAAACCCCCATGGAGAGTGCCCATTTTATTGGTATGCTCTTCTTCTACTTTCATTTCACAAATCACTTTCCCAGGAACAGCAGAGAAGAGAGTTACCTAAGTGTGGGGAAAAAAAAAAAAATTGTGAACAATCTGTGGTATTAGAAAGCCCAGACAGCCCATCGAGAACTATCATTGGATTAAACTGAATCA